GGTGGTCCGAGCTGGGGTGAGGCTGCTGGAGTCTTCCCGTTCTGAGGGGTCCCGACGTGCCCCGCTCCTTTAAGGTGTTGGCCCCCTTCTCAGGGGCGAATGACCGAGATACTACAGGGGTTTTGCCTCTTTGTTGCAGTCCGTGTGACATACCGAGGGGAAGCGAAGGCACTGAGCCCCCAGTGAGGGCTGGGCCGCAGCCCTTTCTGAGTGCAGTGTGAACCTGAGGTGTTTTTTTTCCTTTCTTGTGTAAAAACACAAACTTTTCTGCACCTGGTTCTTTCGTTATACCACAAAATGGTATTTTTGTGGAAGATACCCTTCTTTTCCTCCTCTTTCTTCTCCCTCACCCTCAAAACGACAGTCAGCTGGAGAAAACAGCCAGGGGCTGTGCTGACTCGCAGTGAATCGGGTGTTCGCTTCCAGCTCCGCTTGTTCGATCAGTTACAATCGATCAGTTACAATACACGTAGGCGAAAAAGAAGTGAGAAGTTGCTCTTTTGGAAGAGAACAAAAAAAAAAAAAAAGTTGCATCAGCAGGTTTTTGCCCTGGGATGAACAGTCACTAAGAGTAAGATCTTAACAGACAGCAGCGCACAGGGCAGCCTGGTTTGCCTCAGCGAGTGGAAGAACCCATAAAAGGGGGACAACGGGATGTCATTAAGATGGAAGCAAACTGGTCTGGATGAACAAGGGATAGAATTAAGACCTATTTCTATGAGCACTGCAAATAGTTATAAAGCAATACTTTTGATGAGATTTTTTTATCCATATGAGGTAGATACAGTATTTGGTCTTGTGTTTCAGTAACATACTGTATTGATTTAAAGGTGTTTCAACAAAACCAATGTTTTTGGTGGCTTAACCAAGGTGCCCAGAGTGGGAAACAAATTCTTTTTTAAATAATTGGATGTAATACTTAAAGGTGTTTCAACAAAACCAATGTTTTTGATGACTTAACCAAGGTGTCCAGAGTGGGAAACAAATTCTTTTGTAAATAATTGGATGTAATATATATTGCCAGTCTTTTTGTAGAACATGTGTATTGTTACCTTTGATGTTTAGATTATGCTTCACTTTGTGTTTCTTTATCTTCTTGGGATTATGTTTCGTTTTGTTGGGGTTTTTTCACAATGGAGTTGGAGTTGTAATCCAAAGTACAGGCTTTTATGTGATTTTTACTTGCTGTTTTGTTCTTATGCTGAACTGTTGGTTTATTCCATATTATATAGTCATTGCACAGAATAGCATGCAAGAAAATTATTAGGAGACTACAGACAAATTTAGGTCTTAAAAGCTTTTGAGTAAAAATTAATAACCTTAAAGGTACTTCTGATGATGTCATGGAAAAGGGCTACATGCTGTTTTAAAAAGTGGTCTGTGTAAGTTTGTCATGAAGACCAACTTTTAGTAACAATAGTAGCGAATTACACTCAGTATGACCACTCACATTTTTATATATCAGTTGTATAACTTTTTTTTTTTTACACATCATCGTTACAGAAAGTGTTTTAGAGACTGTGAATCCTGGCTGTTCTTTTGGTTTTCATTGCCTATTTTGATTGTAAGATCCAGAGGGCTACACACTTCTCTTCACCTGTATATGCAGTACTTGCACATGCAGCTGGCATACCTTAGCGTCATTGTCAGTAGTTGCACTAAAAAAACCCTCAGAGGTTGGTTGATGAAAAAGTTTCACCATCAAAGAAATAGTGTAAGATAATTGCAGTGGTCTGAAACACCTTTGAATAAAACCCTTCAAGTGCTTCTCAGCGGAATTTCATTCTTGTCCTTCAGTTCTATAGCTCAAGTGCATATCTTCTTGGCAAAGGCTCTTAAGGGTTTTTTCCCCCTCTTCCAGAACTTGTGACTGTTCCCTTTCTTCTTTCACCTTGCATTTCAAGATGTTTAATTTGTATTTTGTGAAATTGTGTGAGTTGGTTAGCATAAATGTCACTGCAGTAGCTTCTCTCATCTTCGAGATCTCCAAACATATTCAAGTGAGTTCTGCACAGCATTACCTTTCAAATCAGCAATCTGAAGTAGGAGGGTAGCAATAAGAAAAGTAGTATCATTACTGATAACAACTCTTCTATATTTCTAACAATAAGGACTTCCTAGCAGCAGCCTTACTAATGAGTTGTTACACTTGCAGTCATACAGGTCTCTAAGGTTGAATTTCTCCAATTTCTACTTGGAGTCTATACTAACAGAGTTCTTAAGGTCATCATTGCCTTTCTGTATTGCTTCTCATGCACACGTTGTTGGAGTGCACAGCTTAAAAGCTATGGGGTTTGAGAGTATCTGCAATATTTAACGCTTTAAATACCGCTGTTAGGAACCCTTACAGTTTAAATAAAGACGCAACGCGTTCCAGAGGTGCCATCTAGTGGACTAGCTGTTGCTGTAGATTGCTGATAGAGGTGACAGAGTAGGGCTGCTGCATTAATTTGCTATTTATATTAGAATGACATGGTGAGAATAGTTTTGTTTTCAAATAAATTAAAAGGAAGACACCACCAGGATCCATAGAATAAACACCAGGCATTTTACTGCTGGTACCCCCAAGTATCCCTAACTATAAAGAACACTAGTCCGTTCTTCGTATTTTGGAAACTAGCTTAACATAAGCCTTTAGTAAGTATGTGGAGGGAGGGGTGTTCAATCTAACAAAAAGCCCTCCGCATTTCAACAGATTGTGTCTGCCTCTGGTGGTAGCTTTAAGTGTTCTGAACTGACAAGAAGTATCAGACAGGTGATGCTACTTATGTTTCAAAGTGTCAAGGATTACTTCAGAATTTTTTTTTCCTTAGAAAGTAGTTAAGTTGCTAAGCTTAAGCTAGATTTAAGCAAACTTCTTTTTCCACTAGTGATAAGATCCCTGCAAAGTTAGTGTAGCTGACAATTCACAGCAACTCATTTCACGTGTAACTACCCAGCTGATCTGACCACTTATGTGGGTTTACGTGAGGCAGAATAAACACTACTGCTCTATGCAGCATTACATATGCTCAAAAAGAAAAACATTTAACCTAATTGAACAGATGGGTGCAAATAAATCTTAACTAAAGCAGCATTGTTTTCACTCTGTATATGTGCTTATAGAGTTCAATTATTTTGCAGACTGGAATCTACATGGCTTCCTCAGACCCATCTTCATTGTTCTGAGATTTGATCACAGGCTGGTTTCCTCTGGTAAGCTGAACTTAATTATTTTGAGAACAAAGCAGCTATGACACAATATAGGACCTAACATTGCACATTTAAGATACAAGCAAGTGGAAATAACTGCTAGTCTGCATCTTAAAAAGAAGTATTTGGCATAATAAATCTGTATCCTTTGTTATCTGCTTCCTTTGTTGTTATCTTCACTTCTCTACTATCCTTCCCCCTCTGTTTTGTTTGATGTTGGCATGCCCCTTTAGAATAGGCAGTTTTTCTTGTTTTGATTTTGACTGTGAGTTAACTAGACACCCAAGCTGAATCACTTATGTTTTGGGTTGGTTTTTTTCCCCCTCCAAAAGTGTATTCAGAAGTCAGGTACTTAAGACTGGTTTGGTTTGGGGCATTTATTAGCAAAAATCAGATCTTTGACACTGGCAACAGCAGACTTGTTTCCTGAGCCAGAAACATCAGACCATTTCGCTTAATAGGTACAAGGAATCAGTTCTTGTCCGTACAGCCATCACTGGACATGAGGATGCTTACTCTCCTGTATACAGCTGTCTCTCCATGTAGGAACCAGTACACTTATTCAAGCTCTCTTGAAGACCTGTTTACATACTTGATTCTCACAACGAAGCTCCTACCAAAAAACACAACAAAACAAGAGTATAGATGGCTATAGTAATCCAAGGAACTGCTTCTAAAAGTGAAGATAGATCCTTTGCCGTGACTACGGTCTACCTCTCTGCTGCCAGGCTAATAGGTTATGTTTAACATTCTGAGTTTAACTATGCAAGACACTGAAACAATGAAGTTGTTCTAGCTAAGCTAAAATTAAAGCAGCATATGCTCACTGTATACCATCCATTACAAATAATACAGAGCTAGAAGACTTGTGCACACCGTGACCCCATTATAGATCTTATTTTTGTCGTATAGAGACAGAATTAGTGGAAATCTGTAGTAAATACCAGGTGGAGGTCATCTCCTTCAAGCCAGTGAGTCCAGCCCCTGTTCTTCTTCTCACCAGCCTGTACACAGACTAGTTTGTCATTTTCCCAGGTAACCAGGCTCTGTGGAAGAAGAAACAAAACAAAAAAATTATGTCTTTGTCTACAAGTATATTGCAGAACTGAGACAATGTCCTTTTTTCCTGGATGAAAGGGAACCTGAGTACAACTCCTGAGGGGAAGTGAAACTCCTTGTCTGTAACTCAGGCTCCTGCCTCTGCATTGCACTACAAATAATAATCTTGAAACAATTTCAGCTCAAGTAGCTGGATTGATCATGGCATCTTAATTTTGACACAGCCCCTTGATTTTATATATTCAGTCCTACCTTGCATTTTCTGTTATCCAGGCCTTTATTATCTTCTTCAAATTCCTCTCCAATTTTGAATTGAAGCGAATAGTCTCTGAATGTGCTAGTGGTATGGATATAAAACGAATCACCATCTTGTTTGATCACTTTTTGAGGCTTCAGCATTTTTGCTATCTTGCGTGTTGCAAAGTCAATACCTTGGACAGGAGGCAAAAAGATCAGAGTTGTATTTATCACCAGCCATTTTGACAGCCAGGACTTGCCTTTATTACTACTAGAAGCATTTCTTAGATAGTTTGACCATACTGCTATGCAAGGTTTTGTTGTTTGGGGTTTTTTGTTTGTTTAAGGCTGTATGTTACACAGATCTGGTCATGTTCTTGTACATTTTACCCTTTGGAAACCAGTTTACTCAATTGCTGCACAGTTCCTATCCAAGATTTCTTGGGCTGAGTCAGAAGAGTCCTTTTAGGAGTTGGGGAGAGTTGGTTTCCCCGACACAGACACTCCAGTCTTGATCTCAGACCTATCCCCTGCCTAGTTAGAGGGAATAGGTAATGCCTATTCTCATCCTTTGTCAGAGGAAAGGCATTATGTGAATTAACAAGAAATGGTTGCACCCTGTACCTTAAATATGGTGAAATGAAGGACAGTCCTAAAATTAATTACTCGGGGTTGTTTTCAGGACATGCCACTTGCTATTAACACTTTTTAAGTGCAACTAGAAAATATCACACTTGTCAAAAGATTTCCTAGTTATCTGTAACAATCAGTCACCTTTAACAGAATCCTGATGTTCTTGGTAATACTGGGCTTAAAGCAATGCTTTAGAGCTTTTTCCTATTTCTCTAGCAAATGTTTGTTTCTTTCGAGGAACAGGCCATCTATTGGGCAGGCAAGAATTACACAGCATGTTCAGAGTTGGGGTTTCAAGAAGGTGGATGGGCAAAATGGGGGTGTGTGTATTAATTAATTTTGTTGCTTTCATCACCTAGATTAAAACTGTCATTTTATAGGACCACTAGAAGTTTCTGACTTTAGGCAGGCTGGGGTTGTGTTCTTCTTGACAGGGTGGGTTCAGCGACCATGTGTTGAACTATATGGCTCATTACACAGTCTGTGTTTGAAGTAGGGCTTAATAGTGCCAGAATCTGTCAGTCATGTTTTTACGTGGTTACCAGTTTAATTTAGGATAGAGGGGTTTGAATTCAGTACTGCCAAGCCATACCCATTAAGCCTTAACATGGTTGTAAGAATGTATAAATACAAACTATGTACAAATCTATTCTTCAGAGGTAGACATTAAATTGAAGGAAGGGCTAGGCCTGCAATAGCCACATCCTTACACATAACCCTCTAGTTATTCAGCTGATCAGATACTAGTCTCCTCACTCTGCTTACCCTGGCAGAAATGTTTTTCATTCTACCTCTACAATATTGATTTCAGTCCTTGTTTTGTTCAGTATACTGGCAAAAAAGCAGGAGAAAATCATCACCAGGATTCTTCACCTTTACTTTTAAGTAAGCTCCCCCAGTTACATGCTGGAAACCAATTGCATTTTTCATAAGACTGGTATATCATAGGTATCATAGAATCGTTCAGGTTGGAAAAGACCTTTGAGATCATCAAGTCCAACCATCAGCCCTACTGTACCAAGTACACCCCTGAACCATATCACCAAGCACCACATCTAAGCGACCTTTAAACACATTAGTTGTATTTCATTAAAAAAGCCCTTTACTTAGCTGGACAATGCTTATTATCAAGGAACAGAGAGGATCGCTCTTCCATTTGAAGACATTAATACATCAAGAGTATATTAGTATTCAAACTGAGAATAAGTTCTCATGATGAAAGCAACCTTTCTTTTTTTCTATTTGATAACACAGTAGGACTAGAAACAGAGAAGAGTTCTTTCACCACGTTAAAGATATCAACCAGACAATATAAATAGGTCACCCAGCATAGATAAAGGCAGAAAACTGATTTATTCTAGTTCCATATAACATAACCAACAAGGGATGCTGCTACTCATCACTTTACACAAGTCAAAAAGCCAGAAAGGGGTGGGAGAGGCAGAGGGAAAAGGAGGCAGCGCTCAAGGTTGTCTGCTGTCATAGCCTGTAATGAGCTTTGTGCAAGAAAGCTAATAAAGCACCAAGAACTTTCTTAGTTCTCCATTACTGTTAATCTCTCTCTATGAAAGATCTGAGCAAGGTAAGAGGTTAGCTTCAAGCGCTCCAGAGAAGGGACAGTCAGAGAGACTTCTCAACAAGTCACAGTAATGAGAGAAGTGTTTTGTAAGCTGCTTAGATAAAGGACACTAAGCTAAACAACTGCCTGGCAGTGGCAAATATCCAAGCACTTTTTTTTTTGTTACTTAACATTTAATTAACTGTAGTCATAGCTTCTGTAAGTTTATGCTCAAAAGCAAGAGAAAATGAGTGGACAGGGCAAACTCTTCCCTGTCTCTGATAAAACCTATACAAAAATTCTTTTTTTTAACAAGTATTAGGCTGAAAGCTGCAATGACATTTGGGTGACAACGTGACGTACAGTTAATGCTCTCTGTTTATGAGTAAGCAAAGATCCTTCCATTGTTTTTCAGAGAAAAAAAAAAACACTTTAGCAATATCTAGGTTTTAGAAGAACTCAGACTCTTAAAATTGATGAGGACCCTTACGGGAGAAGGGAGGAAGGATAGAATCAGGTATTTTCTACTTACCTAAGGCCACCATATAACCTTCAAAGTTGTCACTGCTGATCAGGTTCCACGTTCCACTGAAATCCACAGTCATTGCCAGACTGTGGAAAGAAGATACAGCCAACCTCTGACCAAAAAAGCAAAGATGAAGAAGTAGTTTTCCAACCGGGCCTTATATAAGGAAGACTGTGGGTGGGATTACATCCCAGAGCCCTTCTGATGGAGGGGAAGGGTGCTATTGCTGAGCCAATAGGTGAGAGGGTATTTGTAGCTCAGCTTCAGCTGCATTGGAGGGAAAAGTTCACAGTTCTGAAATCTTTGTGTGGAGCAAAAGTTAATAGCCCAAGAGTCACAATGCAAACCAAAAACTGGTTTAAACTATTTGTGTCCATCCCATACGCTTTAAAGAGAATCACGGACAGATTTTGTTGTTACTAAAGTTCCCTGCATGTGTATTAGATCTGTGGCTTTGTGATCTGAAATCTACATATTTGTTGAAAAGGTGATCTACTCGCTGTAGAGTAGATTTGAACAGACAGGGATTGACTTAAACTGCAGATAGTATTGTGTCAGCAAATTTTAAAGCAGCACTTATGACACAGTAGTAGAGATAAGTGTTATATCTTGTTGGTTTATGTCTGGAGTGAATTGTAGGCAGCATTGTGTCTAGTGGTTATAACAGAAAAGTGAAAGACCAAACTTGTTTGTGTGTGTTATTCTCTGATATGACTCTCAACACAGTTCCATTGTGCCACAGTTTACCCATTTGTGTTCTCGTTTCTTTAATGCTGTTAATTATATCCTAGTTAAATGAACATGCATATACATGTGTAACAGTTTAGGCATAAGACAGCAGGTCCAGAGGCCTGAGCTCAGTTCCCAGTTCTGCAGCTCCACATTTATCAGTTTTCCTAGATGGGAAAGAGGACAAATACCTGAAAAATCCAACTGTGTTGCTACCATAGTAAAAAGGGAATTTGGTACTCTGAATCTTGAATGAGGAAACTCACCTACAGCTACTACATTTATCTGTTTACTGACTCGAGTGAGGCTGAATAAAAAGATAGTATTTTGCAGAGAAAAATTAAGTTTCCCTGAACTTTAGCTACATTTTTGGAGCTGATGGTTTGACCTATATGACTCACAGAATCATGCGAGTGGGAAATTAAGACGTCAAAGCTTGTTTCCTGTTTGCAGATGGATATTGTTCTTTATCCTATACTAAACTAGGAATGGCACAGAGAAATGCAAATTACTGTTTCCCCTGGACTCAAATAGTAACATTTCACCCATAATTTGTAATTACGAGGTTGTGGTAGTAAAGCACTGTTGCAATGCTACTGACTTTTCCAAGTAAAGAGAAGTCAGTACTTGGGTAAGTCCTGTGTAAAAGCCTGGATATAACATTTTAATTGAAAAGTAAGATTATAAAGCTTGTCTGGGATGTAGTGCTTCCTTCTGTAAATCAGTACTTAAACTAAGACTTATAAAGGGTACTAGGGTTACCATTTCAAGGCTCAGCCAAAGAATTGCCCATGGCACTTTTCATAAGAACTGCCGAGTGCCCTGGCCACAGCCAATGTGGTTCGTTTCTTTCTCCCTTACAAAGTCCCAATTATTTTTTTCCATTTCCATCTTAATTGCTGTGCAGCATTGAGTATCTAACATACTCCCTTAAGGATGTGGCCTCGTTACAGAAGTAAAGTGGTTCCTTTTGCTATTAGATTTTTTATAAAATATTTTGAGTCTGAAGCACGTGTGGTGTAAGGGCCCTATGTTCTCTTAGTAAAGCAGTATCAAATGCGGTAATGTAAAAAAAAAAAGCCTCACTTTTGTTTGTAGAACATCTGTGAATGCATTATGACTGTTTCATAAAGAAGTTCAGTGAACTGCATTATTCACAAACCTTACATTTTCAAGTATATATTCTCTTTTAGATCCAGTCTTTCTAGTCTTGAAAGTTATACCTATCTAACATTTTTTAACACGCCACATCACTGACTGTGATGCTGATATTTGTAACTGATTGGAACAGTGGATTGTCAGTGTGCGGTTACTTCTAGTGTTGTAACAGACAGGTTTCTAGATCCCAGTAGTAAAACAAAAGATCCATATTCAGCAGTCAGTGTAATTTTTGAAAAATGTTCTGGTTTGTATAGCCAAAACTGTACTGACATCATTCTACCTACTTAAAAATCACGTAGTCATCAGATTTGGTTAATAACAGAACAGGATGACTAAAAGGAGCATATTACATGCACTTTATTTTATTGAAAGACCCATCACACACAACTACATTAAAACCCAGTGAAATATAACTGTTTGAAGACCAAAGCTTTATAAACATCCTATGGAATTCACAGTTTCTCCAGAATTACACAAAGTGCACCAACACACACCAGCAGTGTTATTTAGAAGAATAAACCTTGACTTAAAGTGCAGCTTTACTCTGAAAAGTGACCACATAAATAGGGTGCTTTCCCATTAGAAAGATCTGCTCTTTATTCAGAAGCACACTGGTTGACTTGGCTGCTGAAAATAAATTTTCCTTGCCCTCTCTTCTTGTCAGACGGCGAGCAAAAGAGAAAAGTAGATCTCATCCTTTCCTACGCGCTGTCAATAAGATAGTTCTCTTCAATCAGTTATGGCAGTTTGATAGCTACGGTGTCACAGGGGGCATAATTTATCCTTTGGTACCTTTATTACTGTTGATGATAAATTAACCCAGCCTCATCATCAAAGCACAGTGCAAGCTTGCCTGAGCTCTCGGGGAAAAAATGGCAGACTGAGCACTTTGGCAGTTACACATGCACCTCTACGTTGTGACGTGATTTTATTACACTGGTCTCCTTGTAGACTCTCTATAGACAGCTGCCTTTACAGGCTGGAACTAGTAGAACACAGATGTTCTAGTGTATGGTAACAGCAGAATTTCATGTGGGGCTCCAAGTTTACGTGCCCGATTCTACCTCCCCCAAGGGCTGCAGGTTTTCCCGACAGTGTCTCAGCTCCTCTGATCGTTTTTATGTGAGCCTTGCAGGCCCTAGGGCCACCCGTGATGTTCTGTGTTTGGCTTCTGGCTTCTAGAATCCCCCTCAGCTCCTAGGGAAGTCCAGCCCTTTGTCTCAGCATTTTGGGGATCCCCTGCCCAGGGAAGGAGGATGATGGGTTATCACAGTTACAATCTGGGAACATGTCCCTCATTCTAGACCTGCCCAACAGCATCTAGGCTTCCTGCCCTGAGCGTCTCCCATTCTGCTGGATTTGTTGATCTGAAAAATATGAAGGGAGTCATCTCATAGAGATCGTATGAAAAAGCTGTTGACCCATTACGTAGCATCTTGGAAACCTTTACATTTTTAATAAGGCACATAATCCAAAGAAAAATGGGATGACAGCAAATAAAGGGAGGTAGAATTCTATCACCATGACATTTGAGGTCCCTCTCAACCCCTAACATTCTGTGTGTGATTCACAGTGCCTCCCTAGTTTATATTCACATAATACAGGCAATATACTGTTAGATTCAAAACCAGATTTCTAGCACAGAAAAACATTTCACTTATGTACAGTCTTAATATCCTACCATTTCTTCTCAACTCCAGTTACAGAAAACAATTCTGGCTATACACATTTGGCTCAAAAGCAAAAGCTCTTTATTATTTGAAATAAAGGGACAACTGTCTGAGAATCAGTGCAATAACACCATTATTAATTTCTATCCATAAATCAATGGCTATAAACCAATTTCTAAAGTAAGTCTGTCCTTCCATGAGAAAGTACTGAGCTTAACGTACAGCTCTGGAAACATGAATGGAAAAGTAAAGCACAACGCATTTCTGGGAGTAAATGCTATGACTGCAGACAAACAGGCTGCGTATTTGAAAGGCAGGCAGCTCAAAGCATGGTATATCGAGCACCACTTCAGCCAGGAGTAAATTTTTCCCTTCCAGAACAGAACTAAATAATTTCTTTGAGGTGCACCGCATGCTGGCAATTTAAAAACAAAAAAAGAAGAGTTCTATAGATTCACTATCAGTAAGTGGTACATTTTGAAATTAAATGGCTTCGTAAAGACACTAGAAGTTATTAAAAATATTTGTGTAAGTATTTTATAAATATCAGTCAGAGCAGTCTGAGTTAAAACTAATCAGAACATTTTCATTTGTTTTGTTTGTTGTTGTAATTCTCATATGCAAGTGTGAATTCTTATACTTAGTTCACTGCACTGTGACAAAACGTTTAAACGTGAAAATCTTATTATTGGATTTAAAAAAGATAGTGTAGGTCCAATTATTGAGTGCAACAAACCTCAGCAACTACCTATGTACTAAAGCCACAGAATTAGCCCACTACTTACTTAAAAAAAAACCCAACCAAACAAAAAAACAGCACCTAAAAAACCACATTTTCCTGTACTGATCTGTAGCTTTTTTTCACAGCAGAAAGTAAGTTACTTGTATAGTGCCTGTTAGTTCTTGGAATCACTTGCATGTTTCTGTAAGGGAGCCAAGACAACCCCAGCATTCCTGTCTTCACTCTCTGGACTATACAGATTATTTTTTTCTATGTATGCTTGAACTGCATCAGGCACTAGGTAACGAATGCTGTGCCCCCTCCGCAGTGCTCTCCTAATCTTGGTGGAGGAAATGTCATTTGTGATCCATTCTTCCACAAGGTGAATGTTATTCTTATGCCTCCACAAAATATCAGATTCATAGATGAATTTCTGAACGCTGTTTCCAGCCCTACTGATGCATACAAGGCCATGATTTTCCACAATTTCAGTGATGTCCTCCAGCTTCCACAGATTGGGGATGCCAAAAGATTCCAGCATGTCACTTCCACAAAGCAGTTTAACCTGTGGGACACCTTAAAAAGAAAAGTAAGTGAGAAACAGGGCTTGGTTTAGGCCACTAGATTTTAGCTAACTTGATGGGGACATTTAAGTCCTAGGCTACCTCTCTGTATCTTTGGTTAAGATGAGACAATGGAATGAAATTAAAAAAGATTCAGAGTATGTAATTTATAATTAGTAGCCTCAACACAAGATTTTTCTGAAAAAAGGTTATAGGAGTCCCTTCGTTCAAAAGGACTGAAAAATAAACGCTAATATGCTCATTTAGCCTTGGAGTGAATCAATCACTGTGAGGGTGAAAATAAAAGAAAATATAGAGAAAATTCCAGAATAGCCAAGTATGAAAGGATACTGTAATGCTGTTAAAACTTTATCTGACTGCCCATAGAGTTACAGAAAAGGAGCTAGATTTGATGGGACAGGGGGCAGAGGGATTATGTAAAAGGAAAGAAAATACGACCAAAAAAAACCCCCAAACCCATAGACTGTGTGACCTGACTTCGGAGGACTGTCTTCCATACTGTGTTTTATAGGGAATCTACAGAAGCTTGCAGATAGAGACCACCTTAAAGTGATGGAAGCAAAACGGAGAGTGCTACAGATTTGCAGCTTCCAGTAATGTCACAGGGTAGGAACGTAGTAAAAAATCTGTCAGTATGATATGAAAAACGCCTGCTTGATGCTATTGGTCTTTTCTTTGAATGCACTTACTTTAGAACGCTATCAATTAAACAGTGGAATTTGGAAAGGTTCAAGGAAAGAAGTCAGAAGTCAAGATTTGCTCATCTAAAGGATTAAGATGGCTGTTGTGCAAGGCCATGCTATGTGAATATGAATTCTATATATGTATTTCTATTTGAAATTCTATATGAATACATACACCTGCACGTGTTAAGCTAAAGAACTAAAATTAAGATCTAAAAGCAATAAGGAAAATAAATGCTACCTAAAATTACAAAGCCAAGCTATGTCTGTTGTGTGTTTTAAATTACAATTTAAAATGATCCTGCACAGATTTATTTTGCATTTCAGGACTTAATCCTGTCCTTCCTTTCTTCAGCAATTTATAATATGATCCAAAATTCTCAGCTGTAACTACAGTATAGCAAAGTCCTGTAGGTAAAACGGATAGCTCAGACCTGTTTCAGTTCAAATTTCTATTATCTTGAATATTTTTCATGTCCTATATATTTTACCCTTACAGTTGTCTTGTAACAAAGCCTACTGCTTTATGCTGTGGGATCTAAGGGAATAAACTTATTCAGTGAAATCAGAATGAAGAACTAGCATCAAAAAAAGTTACTCATCAGTGCAACTCCCTTGAAATAGCAAGTATGTTAAGCATTTCATTTGTAAACAGACTTAACTTTTTATATCTGGACTCTGATTTTTCTTTTTCACGGGCTCATGCCTAGTAGGTTCCTGCTTCCTCTTCCGTCCTGCCTTTGTTAAAGGTATAGCATTCTGCAGACTATTAGTGGCATCAGGAGATAAAAGCTTTTGATGATGGTACCTGCAAAACAGATGTATTTTAGGTATTTTAAAGATGTAGGAGAATATAGGGAAGAGTTTGGCCTACTAAATCATCTTTTCACCATTTCCTCCTGCAGTACTTTCACAGACAAACCATTCAAGAACTGATCTGCTGGAAAGGGAATTGTGGGAGCTGCATTGTAAGACGGCCAAAGCGCAAAGATTTCAACGCAACAAGTACAAGGTTGGTTCGTTTCTTTTTTAATAAAAATTCATTTTAAAATAAGAACCTCAGTGAAGTAGCAGTAACTGAAAGAGTAAAAAATGTAAAACTTAAAAAAAGATACTCCTTCAGACCATTCTCGTGCCAGCCTTTAAATACACAAATGGGGAGCATAGCACAATCAGAATCAAAAGAGGGAAGCTTGTGTAGCATGTGTCTAGCCTATTCTAGTCTCTTGTCCTTTCTCATGAATACCTTTTCAGCACAAAATTTGAATAAAGCCTAAGAAACAATACATCTTAAAAATTGTTCACAGGCTCATTTTTTTGTACATTTAGGACTAATGGTGCAAGCTTTCATTTACAACGCTCACATCAGTAGTACCTCTGAATTCACTGAGTCTATTCACATGATTCGGGGTTAGCCTGCTATTACTGTCACTTGTTAGAGCTAACACCATTCCTTATCCTTCTACGGGTTCTTGAGACATTTTAGGGTTTGGCTGAAGAATACCTTAAAACTTTTAGTGTTTCCAACCACTCACTCTGGCTGCTTTCCCAATCATCCACTTCCACCCAATCTGAGTTTTTGGTAGCTAGTTTTGCCATAGTTACTCGGTGATTCGCACTGATCAGACCTTTCTTCTTATATGCATCACCTACTGGTGAAATTATTCCTTTGATTACTTTGTATTTTCCTGTGGAAAAAACACATCACAGAAGAACATGAAAAGCAGCTGAGCAGATGTTACTTCCACTGTATTGTGTTTAAACTGTTACATAACCATTATTCACAGCAACCTCTAAGGTCACCAACACCAGCTCTGACAGCCAGCCCAGTGGAAAAGTACAGTACACTTCTGTGCAAGGCAGCACAACTAAAGGTTTAGTAGGATATATTAGAAAGACCTCGTTCTATAAGGAAAAGCTGTAAGATTTATGGGTTAGCTCACTAAAATTAGTAATAAGCAACATATATCTAAGATTGTTCTCTTGTGTATTTGGCCTACATGATTTTGTATGATACATACAAGCATACCAGCTTCAGTATCTAATTAGTATTTCCAGAAATACCTGTCACTGTCCAACAGGCATTCATATACACAAAATATTCACCTTAACATTTAAGTGTCTAGTTATCAGAGCTGTTCTGAACGATATAAATTACCAGCCTACCTGTTTCATGAAAGTAGTCTTTAGCCAGCTCAAAGAGCCTTAGATGCATGTTCGTAATAGGATTGAAGGACCCACAGGCCAGCAGTACTACTTCAGTCTTCTTGTCCGGATCTTCCATAGCTGTTCCTCACAGATACACAGCCAAGCGGAGAATTACCAGCCACTACAAGAAGAGACCAGATTAAAAAATTAGTTATTCCTACTTATTTGTGCTGCCAATAAGCAGAAGATTTCAAGATCAAATTGAACACTGTATCTTCCTTCCATCAACATTTGGCCTGTGATTGTTCACAGGATACTGCATTATCCAGTTTTTAACAGATTAAAACCACCGTCTCTAGTTCCTTCTGGTTACCCCTGGATAGAGGTACAATGCAAGGAGCTGAGACGACAGTGGCTTTATGTTGCAGAAAGGACGCCAATTCCTCAGTGGGGCTTCAGAAACCAAGGATGTAGAGAAAAGTGAGCATGCTAGGAAGATGACATATGTAATACATAGGTGAACTCAAAGCTGCCTTGTCCGTGTATTATAAAGCAGCTGCGATTCCCTCCTATGTGCAAGAGGAAACATCTTTGAAAATGACACCACTGAAACCAGCCTGCTTGCCTGAAGAGAGGACAGCCCGCTCTGAAGAAAAGAACTCATGCAGAAACACTTCATGAGGAAAGATTACTTGTCCTGGTTGCAGTACAAACTTTATTAGAACTCTGCGTTTTTTTTAAGGTGCCATTGACAATCAACTGCTAAGAGACAGATCTGCAGGGAACTTCCTTGAAGTAACCCCCTTACTTCTAGTGCTTGCAGGGGGAATAGAACATTCTGTGATAGTTCCCAGTGCTGCTACTCTACATTGCAGTGAATCTTTTCAGCAAAATCTAGAGAACTAACATTATATGGTATTAAATTCTGGAGGAGACGAGCGTTAATATTTCTTCATTTGGGATTTCTTTACATTTTACATGCTCTTGGTATGTGGGAAGAGAGTGCTATGGACTAAACGTGAAAACAAGCAATCTACTTTGTGTTGCAGAAAGTAAGTGGTAGGTTTACCACTGGAACAGATGACAGAACAGTGAATTTAAAAAAGTTTAGTAAGAGCTGCAACTAAATGCCTGGTTTTTGGGGTTTTTTCCCTTTTTAAAACACAGCAGCACTGTTCCAATTTTGAACTTCAGTTTCAGAAAGCTGCTTAAGAATTGGTGAAAATACAGAACTTTCACTACTTTTTTATTTCTCCTCACACTACATGGACTTTTGCTGCTCAGTGTTCTTCCCTTTCATGACAATATTCCGGCTTGCCAAGATGGTTTCCCCTAGCACGGCCCTGAACAAACAAAAACTGGAATATGTTATGGGCCGTCCTCCTGTGGTTGCTGTTGGTGAGATGTCCGAGACATCGGTGTTGAGCACTGAAGAGTCTGTGATGAGCACTGAAGAGTCTGCCGTTGTTTCTACAGCAACATCACTGCCTGCAAAAATCCCACAAGGTCACCCTCACATTCCGTCTCCTTTACAAAGAAGCTGAGGGATGTCCGCAGCCGCCGCAGCGGCGAGGTATCATCACGGCTAAATCTTGTAACAGCTACTATGTACTAACATCAAATAGCCCTTGAGTAAAACCAAGTCTTGCAAGGCTTCACATTTTGCAAGCGTTAGTACTTTTTTTTTGCGCTTTCAAGAGTTTCACAAACTTTTAAAATACTCTTTATTAGTGCAGAGTAGTTCAGCATTTGAAGGGCTGGGTGTTACTTGCAATGCAGTCTTCACAGGGGCATCGCGGGAAGAGTTACTATGGGAACAGGCCAGGAAAGGAGTCAGACTTGCCTTTGTAATGCAGAAAGCCCTACTTTCTAAAGAAAGTGACTCATGCTGCAATTTTGAAAAGGGTTGATTTTTTCATTTAAAAAAAAAAAAAAAAGCAAGGGCAAAAATAATAGAAAATTTTAAGATCAAACTATATAGTGCCTCTTCTGGAGTAAGTCAAATCTCCTTTTCCACGCTGCTAGCTAATTTTACAGTTTTCAGAAACAGGCAATTATTGCATCATAAACTCACCTTGTAGGGCTTCATATCTGCATAGAAATTGAGAATATAAATATAATTTAATAGTTTGCACATACCCCCAGTCTCCTAATTTGCATTGACACCCTCTGCCTAGCACTGTTCACAGAAAACAGCTGCCCGGTTGATGTGGAGAGCAAAGGAAATGGCAAAGATGTATCATCCCGCGATTACCTTCACTGTTACGTCATCCTTATAACCAACAGCACCGTCAGAGCTGGGATCTGCTTTGTATGAAATGACCTTCATAGGGCTCTAACTTTTGAGGGAAAGATATGCCATTTGCACATGCCAAGAGAGAAAAAAAACTTAGGTTCCAGCGATGATTAAAGCCCAGCCACTGCCTGAGCTGTGTATGAACTATGGCTATTCTTACTGTATAATAACATTAGTAGTTTTGATGATTTACGTATAATTTGGCACTGCTTGACACAATTCTAATTATTGCAGTTTGACCACAAGATCCAAACTAGCAGCCCAGCTCCTCTATAGAGAGGTGAAAGAGATCTGTACGGAGGTGTTTAGTTCCACATAACCAAGAACAGTCTTAAAATAACTAATGCTCTCTTTTGCCAAATACTGAAGATTAGTCAAATCTCTCCACAGAGACTTAAGATGGGGAAACAAGGTAAAATGGCCTTCACGTAGACTTTCCGTTAAGTGTAGGGCATCCTAGATTGTTTTCTCTTCCTCAGAAGGAAAAATGAGGTGCCCTGTGATGTAGTTCTTTACATATATGCTTATATATAATCTTATACCTAATATTACTAATATTTAGTGTGTACCACTTGCAGTCCTACTAGTGCTTAGCTGGATTGGGCACGTATTTGCACTAAAAGCCATCGAAGTAGCCTACAGCAGGTTTTGGGATGGCTCTGAAAACCAACCTGTCCACTCCTTTGGATAAGCAGGCACTGCTGCCCATGCTTTGGTCAAGCTCATCTCTATTTCGGAGGTAAATATTTATTAAACACGCTTATAGATCCGTAGGGTATCGACCCCGCTAAAGGGGCGGCGCGCAGGCTGTTGCTGGAAGCTCTCGCACGCCAAGCGCTCCACGGCTCCGTGCGCCTCAGCAACCTCCTCCCCACAGCTCCACGCCGCCAGAGGCCCGCACACGGGTACG